AATTCGGGTGATCGACATGCTGATCGCTACTATCAACAACATTTGGAACCCCTGTATGGGGACATGTCCCATGACTAGTATTAGAGAATAAAATCTGATCAGCCAATGAAAGGTCATTGTTTCAGCTTCAGCCGAATTTCAGCATCAGCTGTGACAATAACTAGTGACAATGTTATATAGATCCCAGATCGGAGGAGAGAGCTTTTATCAGAATTCGGGCTGTATTTTGACCAACCAAGGTGTCACTAGTTTTTTAGATATCAATTTCTGAGCCATGGTGGATTCGTATTTTGACTGCACATATTAATATTACAATCACACTCCAGGTTGAGCTATAAGAATAATTCTCATCACATATCTTTCTACCGATCAAACACTAAAGGATTTACTGGTTATCTGCAGACTATGTGAATTCTTCCAACCATTGAAGGGTTAATGTGCTTAGATAAAACAAATCAGATATCTGTCCCGAATTGAAAACATAACAACTGCCAGCCAATAAATTAGCATAATGCGAGTTACACACAGTTATGCCAAAGAACGTCTCGTAAGGTAAAGGTGGTTGCCATAATAATAACCGCTGGCTTGTCTATGTTATTTTGCTTGCCGTATTTCGTAAAAAAAGTCATAACTGATTTTTGTGTGACTTTTGAAAGAGTTTAACTGTATTATAATTATAGTTTATGATGGAATCCCTAATGTATAGCATGAACCAATACAGTGTTCTACAGTGTTCAGATATCGGAAGCTGTTAAATTTCTTTACGATTTTTATTATTGCTATGGGAATAAGACAGAGTACAGGTTGCACAACACCGAAAATAATAATAATGGGGGCGCACTCAGAATCAATGCTTTCACTGCTGTTCAAAATGGCTGCCGTACATAAGCCTTTTGTTTTCCCCGTGACAGGAAATACTCTAATAAGAATGTGCCAGGATGCCTACGAAGAGGGTCACAAGTCCCTTACAGTAGTTTTACGACCAAGAATAACCATAGTTGTCGGTGACGTGGACACAACGTGTAAAAAGCCCCGAGCAGCCGTGGAGGAGAATGTTACTTACGATAGGAGTGTCAGACACACTAACCCTGACAAAGCAGTTTCTCGACGCGCTGGCTCACACAGAATGTATGAAGATAGACGCATTGGCTCCGACGATGAAATTGGTTGGGGTAATGTTTTTAATATTAGGAACATCAACGATAAGTTAAATGAAGTTACGGAAGTTACAAACGACAAAGAAAAGATCCAGGCACCCTTGGCTGCTTTGTCGGAAAGATCAAGCGATACTTCTGAGGTAGACAGTGATGACGATTCTGGTTTCGTATATAAACCATCCGATGAAAGAATAAGGGCTTATGGTATGCGCGTCATATTTTATATCGAATATTGGACCCGGATCCCATGTTCACTAATCTCATCTTTGGTATTTATTATAAGCATCAAGTTCAAAACAGGCAGCATCGTTCGAATCGGCAGGATCTGTGACGACAGGAGAAACAACACGAAAGCCATCATCAGTTTCACCGTCACGATCCTCTTCCTTCTCACAACCACAATCGCAACAATCGGCTTTCCAATCTTGGCAATCATTCCAATCATCGACATCATCCATATACGATGATCCTGACGATGTGCCAGTACAACAAGTATCGGACTTATCAATATCCAGCTTTATCAAACCCAGGGAGAAAGAAGAGCTGGAGCAGCTCGCACTGTTTAGCGTCAGAAATCCTTCAAAGGAACATCGATACCGTTTCCGGACCACACCAACATTCTCGCAAATGAAGGTGACATTAGTATTAGATTACAAACGACTTGAGGAGCTCAAGTTAGGTGGTGGGAACAGATGGTATTTCGGTAACATGCCTACAGTAAGTCAGAAACAACAAATGTCTCAAAATCTCAAGTGTGCATATCGCTTTGCAAATGGTTATCAATATTTCATAGACAACCGCTTGCTGAACGAAAACGAAATAATAACACTTGTTCAAGCAAATCAGAGAAGATTCATGCCAAAGATACAACTTGCTATACAAGTATATGACCTATTTACAGAGCTGGGAGACAAAGCCTTTGATCGCGCCAGTTCTATGGATTTGACTTTTCTGGGAAGATATAGCCTTAATCAACACAGAATGATTTTAGATTACGTTAAGCAATATAAGGTGGAGGAGCGATATAAGGTGGATGAAACTGATGGTATTTGGGTCTCGGAGTCGGACAGTTCTGGGTTGTGGTGATATGATTGGCTGATTATAGAAAATAATTGTGAATGAAATGGGCACAACTCTAAGCGATTTATTTGGTTTATTAAAAATTTCGAATAAAAAAAGATGAACCGTATCATATGTAATTTATATGCGGCCGTTGCTTTTAACGGTGAAAAATAGTGGGTTTACCCAATGCTTTTTGCGGCTCAATGTCAAGAATAGCAATATTACTCGTCACAACGGGTGATCCTCTTTATTACATAATAAATATAACAAACTATGGAAATGACGCTATACCAAATTTTGATTATGTCGTAAATATGATCGGGACGCGATACGAATCAGTTGGCCGAGTATTCCAAGATCAAGTGGACTTCTCCTTTACTTCTCAGCCCGAGTAAAGCTGGCAATTTGACCCATTCATCTACATAACCCTTCTTGTATACTTCTTTCAAATCAACTTTAGCCTCACCGAGCTATTATAATCAAGATATGTAAATTATGAGCTATCTTGCTGTTTTAATCTACAACCAAGCAACTCTAATCATATACCTTGTCATCCTCGCCAAAATCTTCGTCGAGAACTTTGATATAGAGATGATGCTCATGGGTATCGATGTTGAATTTGAAGTCTTCATTCCAAGTAGGGTTTAACGTATTCTTCTTGGTGGCCGTTCTTTGTTTGTAGTCCTTTGAAATCCAAAGCTCAACATATGGGTCGCCTTATAAAACAGATATATTTCAGTAGGTGGGATATTGATTCGATTAACAACAACAACAAACAATCTTTACTTTTTCCTATTTGAAAAAAAAAAAAAATAGGAACATTAAAGTGTTAATAAATATTAGCGTTGAGGAAATCGAAGAGCAATATGATTGACAATCAAACTAGTATGACTTACCAATTAAGTCCTCATCCTTCAAGTTTTTTGCCTCAACTTTGAAAATCCGAAAACGACAATAATTGATAGTTAGGATAAACTCGTATTGCTGACGCGTTAACATCATTCCATCTCGCGTTCTAACTAATACCTACCAACGATAACTTTGAGTTCGCCCTTTGTCATGTTTACTGTAAATTGGTCAAATTAAAGTCCAATCTCGCACGATTGGCCTCTCGACCATAACTCTTTATATGCTGTGGGCATGAGAATTTAGATTATCAAACATTGCATCATCGACTGAAATACGTAACACAATACTGGGCAACCTTGTGTAACTGGTTCACGAGGCGTTAGATAAACTTGGATAAGTCCTTTTTCGACTGCAAATAATTGGAATCAGATATTTAACCATGTTACACGAGTTACGCAAATGACGATTAATAAAGTTCTTAAAAAGTAAGTACAATTACACGGATCACATATCGGAAGCATAACAGCCGAGAGAATAATATTACTCTTCTAAGTAATGATTTGAATAATTTGACGCCAAGAAATACCGCATGAACACTCTTTATTGGTCTACAAACGATCATGGACCTGATTACAATTTCCTTTTGCAGTACTAGTTGGTGTACAGGAAATTGCACAGCCACACCGATATGTTCACGTGGACGTTAAAGGAACTTCCATCAACACTGTATGTAACACATAATCCGCTATCATCAACCATCTTTAGACCATCCCAGTTTTCCAAATTCATCCAAATCCCACTGCCAAAGTGTTCACTTCATACTTTGCGTCCCGCACTCGAAGACATTTTGTCCAACAAGGAACTGTTCTTTTTACTCTGTTTCACAGTATCATCTCATTTAAGCCACATTTTTCGGCTATGATAATCAGGCTTATCTTTTATTCTCACGATTTGATTGGAGGACAAGGTTGGTTTGTATATTTGTAGGGGGAAGAAGCGGAGCGGTCGGTTTACAATATATATATATTTATAGTAGCTTAACTTTTGCTTTTTCACCTGATATCCAGACAGATAAACGACAATGGGACAACTCGAAGTTTACGTTGGTTAGTAGAAATATCTGTTCTTATTGCGAATTGGTTATTACGAGATAGTAACTGGAATCGAATTCTTGCGCGCTAAATTATTAGTTGAAGGAAAAAACATCAGAGACACCGATATTGCTGGTAATTCCATCGTTCCTCAATAAGGGGGTCCTCTCATTTCATAAGTTTTGCTCAGTTTGATATCCTAAATTTGTTTTATTTCCCATCTTACAAACTCAACAATACCAATTGACAGGCCAAGGTAAGCAACCCGCTCACTTAATGCAATTGGCAAAGGTTAAATAACTTGACGTATTATGCGAATTTCGTTTCCGTCCTTTCAAATTTGCTGACTTTGCCGTTATCTAGCCGATCCATATGTGGAACTCTGGTTTGAACAAAATAAGAAAAAGAGAACTGAAGCTAGAAACAATACTCTGACGCCAGTTTGGGATACTCGATTCAGATTGTATGTTTACATCATTTCATCAAGTTTCCCAAGCCGTACAATAACACAATCTATTTTCTCAGCCCTGTCAACCCTAGCTCGGACAAAATACTCCATTTACGCCTCTCGGATGACGACGTAGGTACAGATGAAGTAATCGGCCAAGTTGACTTGGATATCAGTAATATCTATAAAGATCTTTATGAAGAAAAATGGATTCACCTGCCCGCAAAAAATGAGACGAGCGATGGGGAAATTCGTTTGGTGCTCGAGTATTTCCCCTAGTTAAAGGGCAAATAAACAAGGAAATAATATTTTTGTATATCATATAGCTGTTTTGTTGAAATAAATGAAGATGACGCGCATGAAGCGGTTTCAGAGGACATGAAAATTCGATATATTTGAAGTCTCTACATTTTGTTCAGATAACCCACACCTCAATTGCCATGCGCCATATTGTGCTCAGGGTGATGCCGTCCCTCCAAAGAAAAAAAAGATGGTTAATAGGTAAAGAAAATATACACGTTGAAAACTGGCCCACCTCTTTCCGTGAACGACGTTCTTTCCAACGCGATCATCACCAAGAGATTATTTCAAGGAAAGATATAATTTGATTTTGTGCAATTAAGAGCTAAGCGGATGCAACAGTAATTTGAACAATCGCCCGCTTCCACTCTGGACGCTTTCCGCGCAGGATAGTATTAGGTATACTATGCAACGCTTTAACAATATCATAGTCTACTCGGAAAAGCGTGAGGGTCCGGTGCTTGGTACTCCCTCACAAATTAATCGACATCTTCGGTTTTTTTAAGTTATTAATCATCTTTCAGCCCGAAGTCTTAGTCTCACTATAGATACGCGTTTGTTTGATGCATAGTTTACGCGAATTGTATACAAAGACAACATGCGTTGTGCTAGTTAGTTAGACGAGTATATAATTAACGAGTGCACTCATAATTAACAGGAACGTATATTAAACGACTAAGGATAATTATAAGAATATTGTATTATAATAGGGTTATTCGTATCTAACAAATCCGCTAGCTATGGAAGTCAATATAATAACAATGGGCTTGTTTATTACCAGAATCAAATTATGATAATGAGAGAAGTTGAGTAATATCTATTGTGTTTTACAATAAATATCGTTGCATTATTAATTAACCGAATTTATAATATGGCCAGGATGACAGCCCAAATTTGACAGAGTCAATTTATCGATCGCTTATGTTAATTAAGGCGATAAACATTTAATTATCTATTAGTAATAGATTTTACCTTTTGACATTATATACAATGTATGCGTTCTTGTCACAATTGTTATTTAAGCGATTGCTCTTTGTTGGTGACCTCCTCACGTGTTGATCACACTAACGTCCTATAATATGTCGATAATAATAATGTTACACTATTGCTGTTCAATAAAAAGAACTTCGCTGCTTTCATATTCTCATCAATAATGCGCAGAGTTTTATATATTATCGCAATTGTTCTCATTACATGTACATTTGTAGCTACCAAGGAACCTCCCACAAAGCTTCAAATTGGTACGTGATGGAATGGGGTGTAAGGATGATATGTCTCTAATACATCACATTATTATTAGGTATCAAGAATAGAGTGCCGGAAGGCCAATGCAGCAAAAAAGCCTCAGATGGGTAAGCGTACACGCTGAGATCAGTGATCGTGAGTAAAACATTTTATGGTATTAGATACTAATTGGGGTTAACGTTTGAAAGAGATCAAGTATCAGTACATTATAGAGGAACTCTCTTTGAGGACGGTACAGAATTTGATTCTAGTCACAAACGAAACGAACCTCTCAAATTCACACTTGGTATGTGGGACTAAGTAATTTATAAGAAATAAAACCCGATTATATAAATAGTCTGTAGTGAATACTAAAACAAGTCTTTATGTTTTACAATAGGTGTCGGTCAAGTGATCAAAGGTATGTTATTCATTTTATAAATGGAAGAATTTCATAGCCTTGAACCGCTCGGGTTGTTAAATGATGTCTGCTTCATTAACTTGTCTACTTTTTTCTTTTAGGGTGGGATCGAGGAATCCGTGGGTAAGTAATCGCTATGTTATCTACGCGTTATTGTAACTGGATACGTAATAACGTACCGCATTTCTATATAGCATGTGCGTTGGAGAAAAAAGAAAACTCATCATTCCAGCCGACTTAGCATATGGTGATCGCGGAGCTCCTCCTTCCATTCCTGGTAACACGATCCTTATAACTTTTATTGATATGTGTTGATATGCTGTTATTTGTTTATTAATATTAGTATCTTGTGAATTTAATAGCAAACGCGGCTTTGGTATTTGACGTTGAATTGGTTGCCATAGGACCAAACAGGGCAGAACTGTAAGGGATCGTCAAAGGTTGGAATCCAGTTCTTTTTGTAACGTACGAGTCAAACGAGCAATGTGATAAAATAATGCCAAGTGCATCTATGTGCCAACGACTTGGGAACGAATTTTGAAAAAATATTGTCTACTTGAGTAGTCAGATTAAATACTTATGCAACAATAAAACCTCGATGTTTTCGTTTGCTAATCACCACGGTTCGTAATCATCTTTTTTGAAGCAGAAACTTTTATTATAAACCCTTTTATAAATAGTTTCGGATGACTTAATCAACGACCGGCGGGAAATCGACTGGTGGTTGCCTAATTTCACACAAATCAATTGAACCACTCTTCTGATCTTATCCGACATTACAACAATACTTAACTCCCTCAGTTCCCAGATATCCAGACAATTAGGTCCATCTTTCAACTTTTCCTCTTTTTGTTCTGCGCGCTCTTTGAATGCCTTCTGCCATAATTAACAAAAACGGGATTTTGAATTTTCAAGTATAACGGGAATAATTAGAGTATCTTAATGGATATACCTTCTTCTCTTCAGAATTCATGAATTTCGTTCGCCAACAAAATCTGAGATTGTCTCGATATCGCTTACAGTCTTTGCGCGTACCATAACGATAGTAGTTTGTTGCTTGGCCTCCGATGCCTATTACCAAAGGGAATATACTTTATTCGGTGGATGATATTTTGCTGATAGCAGTAGAACATTTTATGATTGCTCACTATAACAGTAGAACATCGTATCGAATTCTTGTCTTAAGCTACATGTCGGCTCATCCTGATCGTTTATGACTCCCTGTTCGGTCATTTGGTAAGATTAAGATTGTAGAATTATAAAAACAAAAATTTCAGGGGTGTAAATTTTCGAGAGCGTCACACAAAAGTGTCGCGATACCCCACTACTATAGTTCTCTGTTTTTATAAGATTGATCATTCTTTCATCCATGGAAGTCTAATGAACCGTTTCAGTATTACTTTGTTGACGGACTATCTAAAGGTAAGTCAGAAAGATTAATTGCATCGTTTGTCAGATAATTAATTTTATATTGTGACAATGTTGGTTTGGGAAAAAGCAACAGGATGAGCTACAATTGTGTGTGTATCTGCTTAAATAATAATCTTATCGAGAGTAGCAAGCTATCGTTATAGCGCATCAATAAACATAGTAGGTATAGTGCTTCCGATAGCCTGTTTAAAGCGCCTTGTAAAGAAACTTAACCGAATTCGTATATAAAGGAGCCATTCTCCCAGTTGTTGCTGACTGACACAAAGGTACCAAAAAGACTATTGACGAATTCAACAAAAAACGATTATATCTGAACATTTAATAACACATAATTATACAATAGACTCCGTTATAAGTCAAGAGACGAAGTCATTTGGGTAATGGATCTTATTGATTATTTATTTACTTTACATTATTTATCATACATGCTGTCAGAATTTCTATTCAGGTGGTGTGGATATTCGGCCTGGAATGATATGACAGGTTCATTTATATTGCTTGCTTTATTGGTCTCCAGTTCTTGAGGGAGGTGATACCTACAATTTGCGGGAATATCAGTCGCATAGTTCTCTTACATTCATATCAAATAAACATTACTCGTACCAATATAATACCGTCTCCTCTCACAAAGAGCATCTCCATTTGCCTTTTTACGGTCTAAAAAAAATAGAAATAGCGTCAATAGCAGTGTAAAAACATGTCTGTTATCGATTCCCATATAAAGTATTACCCTAACAGCTTCCTCGTACGTCTCCTCATCCATTTCAACCACTGTGATGGTTTCTTCAACGTCACCAAGAACCATGTTAAGATGACTGTCATATGCCTACAGCATAATACGAATACGTGAATTTAACCAAAGAATTGACGTGAGCATCTTCCATAATAAATCAACTCGGGAGACAAATACCGAAAACATACATGCAGTTTGCCTCGGAGTTCTCTATCACCACGCAACTTGACGTATATTCGTTCGTCAAGAGATAGACGAACAAGATCAAATGGTTCTTCTACGTCGTTACTTTCAACAGTTGGAGGCACTTGCTCGTCAGACATAGGGAGAGAGGAGAACGTTGTAGAGCAAGACTTGGGGACGTCCAATTTTTAAATCTCAAAATTTTTGTGTTACTCGATCCCAATGTATGCAGATCACAATGTCAAAGATATCATGCGTTAAAAGGTGCAGGTACTGTGAGAGTTAGCCAAGTCTATTATATCGTTCCTAGCTTGAAGGAAGTGAAAGATCCGGATGAGCTCCATAATCCTATTTCTACTGATTTGCCTTTTTAATCATCGTCCGATCCATTATCCATCTTAGATTCTCTCTTTTCATACCATCATTGATGGACGAAGTCGATTAGGCATAAGGCCAACATATTCGAGCGAAAACACAGACTGCATTGAACGTGAAAGTTATTGAGTGTTGGGTCACCAACGCACAAGATTACAGCCGAGAATAGAAAAAAAATCCCGCTCGAAAAAGACTTTGGTGTAATTGTCAAGGTAAGTATTCGGGAATTTGTCAGAACTTGGTGATGTGAAAAATATTAGCCGGATATTCAGGAAACTAATATACGTTGTTTTATTTTTCGTTCTCCTTCACAGAACTTTCCAAGGACTAAGGCGAGCCTAACCGCCTGGATACGTTCATTGGGACTCCATTTCTATTCTGCAATTTTGGGCTCTGAATTAACGTCATACACGATAATCGGCGGATCATTACCAAGTGGAGAATAAGAAGTTACGTTCAATGAATACATAATTCTGATGGTTACTCCTGCGGATTACATAAAGTTGGTCTGAATTAGTCACGGCTTAGTATGAAGCTTTTCTCGAAAATTATGCGATTTATCAACAATAAATTCATTATCAATTTTCTACATTAACTCGATTATTCACAAACTGTCGTATTATACATCGATATTCTTTCTCTATTCGATATAGTTGATGCTCACTGTAAATAAAGCTTTTTAGGGACACTAATAAGAAAGTTAACTGTAGGTTCTACGTCTCCGCTTATTTCTACTCTTCGCCAACAACCACGCACGATAATAGAGGGTCGATTCACAGTCGGAGTTTTTTACTCTGCGGAGTTTATCGATGGCACGAATAGATTAGCATAATACTGCCCTAAACAAAGAAAGGAGACTGCTAACTTTAATCCGTTTTTAAGTGCAAGTTGAATTTAATTACAACAAGTCGCTATTTTTATATAACACATACATCTCATTATGCTGTCATATTACAAATAATACTAATATTATTTTTATAATATTTTTCAACTTTTTTTCTTTCTGTCTTTCGCTTTTTTCTTTCTTTTTCCTGCTATTGTTTCAACCATTACAAATACTACAACGTTAGTATTATTACTATATGAAGTTATAATATGGATTAGGTGGATACATTGCTTTTAAACCGGTGTGCCACGCAGAAAACTCACCATTCATCTCTAACCAGCTTTTGTTGTTCAAGAAATAATAAAGACTTTTTTAATGCATCTTCGCCTTTTTTTCATTGAAATTTTTATGTCTTCTGCATCGGAATTAGCAGTATCGTTTCTGTAATAATCCATCAAACATTTGAACGGCTGAAGTTTATTAAGAATCCGAATTAAAAGGAGTGAATTTGAATAAGCGTCAGAATTAACGTTAGAATAATTTTACCATATATAGTAATGATAGTCAATGACCGAATTAAAGTTGTCTTTTACAATACTTAATTTATACAGTTGATTCGTGACAGCTGTCCGAACCGAATTATCGCAATATAATAAGTATTGGACGAATAAAAGGAAGGAATCTGATATGAAAAAAAGAGTCCGGTGTTAAACGTCCGGATGATCGGAAATCCGAATTAAAGGGGACGAATTAACGGCAGTTGACTGTATTCTTTTTGTGTAACTCTCAGCCTCCAGCTTTATTATACATCCAGAAACGCTCGTTTTTTACACCTTTATACAAATGATAAAATTTTTTTTACTCCCACTATTATTATGTCTTCGGTTATCTAACTTTGCTCTGTAACTTCATTCTCAATAATGGGTTAAAAGCTTTTTCTTCTACTTATCTCGTACTAGTCGCGAAGTTTCTGACATGAGAAATTTTTTCCCATTCCTCAATCATAAATTGCTTCAACTCATTTATATTCTTGGGCATTCTTTTTCAACATTATTTTTATAATAAACCACATGTTTCTATCGGATTAAGATCCGGGTTACTACCATTTTACGCGTAACAGAGTTGCGGGTAAGGTTGAATTCGCAGCGACTTTTAGTAAGAAACGTTCACACCAACAAATAGTTGGGTGGCATACATATCAAGTCGCTTAGTTACTGAAGGATTATTATATATCTTTTCTCTTTTTCTTAGTCCTCCGGTAATAAGATTGGCGTTGCGGGTAAACTTGGTGTGTCAATGATGACAATAATAACGAAGCAAAAGAGTCCAAATATAGAGCGAGTTTTGTCAAAGTAATGGGGAAAGCAAGATTGTGTGTCGGGAAACTTTTGAAATTGAGAAGACACCTAAATAGTGTTGGTTATTTCATAACGCGATTATTTATGTCATTAAAGACAAGAAGATACCTGTTTGTTGAAAAGACGTCGAATACCTGAATAAGATAGTAAACGTCGATGCAATACAACTTTTTCCGAACTTCTTTATCGCATTATAAATTTACCCGGCGCGGTACATGTTAATAATGTACGTAGTGTGGAGGCGGAATGCTCGTGCAAACTCTTTTAATTGGTTATGTGATCAATAAACCGTGTCGCTGTTTGAGCGCTTGTTCGTGAGATATAGCAAACTGTCGAATGTGCGTAATATGTTGTAAAGAGATACATGTGCAATAGAGAGTAACGCCTGGACGTATATATATGGGTAGACGTGTGTTCGAACCCTTTAATCAACTATATAGTCGATAAACTGTGTCGTTTGTTGAGTGCTAAGGGTCTTGTTCGTGTTGTAGCGTACTTTTTGTGCTTTGGGAGAGAAGAAGTCGATACATGTGTAATGGAAAGAAGCGCTCTGGGCGTATATATATGAGTAGTCGTATATACGTAATGTGAAGTGGCGGCAAAGGCTTTGTTCGTTGTATATTTAAGTAATGTGTTTGGTTAGAGGTTGTTATGCAATAAAGAGAAGCGTTCTAGGTATATATGTAAATGAGTAGACGCGTGTTCGCGTGATAGATGCTATCTATTATCTATGCGATAGAGTTGAGAAAATTATTGTCAACCAATAGAAAGCTGTCTAATGTAATACATCGTGACATCATATCCGTAAATATGATTAGTGTAACATTTCGGAACAACACGGTAAATGTTTTTACTGGTTGGCAAATTCGATAGGTCACGCGTAAAACTGTCACAATGATAGCGATAACAATAGCGATAGTAATGCAATACGATATCAACGCGGTTGTTATAGAAATTTGCACAACAAAAAAAGCGCAAGTCTGCAACGCCGATACGATTGTCTAACTAAACAATAAAGTAAATGGTAATTTTCCAGCATATAGAATAAAGTTATTTATATTAGGTGCATGTTAATATTTGTGCTTAACGTTGTACATGTATATAAACAGCGGTTGATCCTGACAATTAAACATGTCCAGGAAATGTTCATAATAATTAATCCAATGTCCGATAGATATTAGGAGGCATGTCCATGATCAAATATAGAAGAAAAGGGAAAAGTGCAAATAAGCTCTGGTCTTCTCTTATCAATAGTTGGTGATCTTGTTAGTAGTTATTTCCAAAATCTCCGACAGTAAATTGCTTAATATATACCCACGTTACTACTTAGCAATAACCATTGTGAGTATTGTACTTCCACCGCCAATTACAAAGTCCTGTAGGAGAGAGGTCTATCTTGGTATATATAGAAAGCGGACGTCAAACAAATAAGCCTGAGGAAGGAATAATTTCAAAAGTCTTAAGGCGTTAGTAAACCGTAGAATTAAGGCTTGTGCCCCCCAAGTAATATTCGCGATCTTACTACAAGAGTAAAGCAGTTTACAACAATAGCGAATATCCACCAAATAATTATGTAGCAATTGGTTGTAAGTAAAAGGCGCACTTTCATTAACACGTTATAAACGAAGGTGTTTTCATGGCAGATCGGGAACAAACTTGCTATAGTTTATACAGTGTACGTGATACAATATTTACAATATGCACGTGCTGCGTATCGGTAGTAAACAATCAATTAATATATTGATACTATATTTAGTAATATCGTGTGAGTAATTATGGCTCATAATAGATGCTCATAATAGGAATGGTTTTATAAAAATTCGAACCAAACAATGGCTCCAGACTTTGCACAAGTTGAGAAGATGCTTTTATCAACATGTTGCTTATCACATTTCATTTACAAGTGTGTAAAGTACAACAAAGTCCAATCAACAATATAACAAGCGAGGAACGACGACCAAGTGTGAGATTACGTACGAAAAGGAAGATTCTAATTGAAAACGATCAGGATTGTTGAATAAATAAATTATTGTTCAAGATTGTGGAAATTGTTTATTGTTGCCCGCTCTCTAATGAATAGACAACAAATGTACGGTTTTTGAGATTTGCAAATCATAAGTAAACTCCAATCCACCTACAAAAGTAAGGGGAAAATTACAATTAGCACTGCGGTGAACCGCTAAAAGACGAAAGGCGTCAAAACTGGGGATCAATATGATATACAAGCATATACAGATGTTTTAATTATCATTTACACTTATCGCTCACCTTCGCTCAATAAACATTATAATAATATCACACGGAAACAATATATCAGCCACTATAAACATCTAATATAGCGGCGATTATCATTATAATTACACTCATCCAACTTAATCTCTTCTCTCGCCTCCCCTTCTCCAATTGCTAGTGCTGACATGCACCAGCTTTTACCATCTTAATGTCCCTCCCTCTTAATCTCTAGGTTCATCGTTCAAACCCGATCTCCTCTCTTCTGATCCTACTCCTTTTACTAGGCATCTCAATAAGACCCTCAACGGGAATACTCTTACCCAAAAATCCAACTTCGTTTCCACCAAACTTCCGCTTTAGTTCCCCAGCACTACCCCATATTCCAATACCTCCTTCCTGTCCTACGCTTATCGCTTCAATCTCTCTCTGACTAGAAGATACCATCATATGTTGTGGCATAGTAAAATCAAATATTGAAGCGGTTGGAAATGTCTGAAAGGAGGTGGTTGTTCCTGACAGCGCTGACTGTGAATAGAGTTGATGTGAATTGGCATGCGGTGTTTGATGTGGGAAAGTGGTTACTGCATGGTCAGAAGCAGAGTGAGAATGAGAGGAGTTTGTTGTATTTTCGGATGGCTGTAGTTGGGATGATTGAGACGACGGTGGTGGTGGTAGTGGCTGTATGGAAGCTTGTTGCGGTTGACATTGATGATGTATTATTGCAAGTTGTTGTGATTGTCCCTATCAGAAGAAATAGCGAAACGCAGTGAATATAGAGATACAAAAAATTAAATTTATGTATTACAATTGGTTACTAATTTATTATACATTTACAATCATAAACTACTACAGCTATCTATTACGCTTATCATTCTTTCTAATAACTACATTGTGCATCTTCCTACATCAACTCACATTCACACTATCCTCTGTATTCTGTACATACGCCCCATGTAACTGTCCATGTTTTGCTCTCGCCCAATTTACTAAATCTTCCAAATCGACAACCATTCTCTCACTTGCCCCTGTCTGCTGTTGTTGCACATGAGGGTGTGTGTTTAAAAAGTCCATAATATCAAGAAGACACTTTTCATAACCCCTTTTATACGCGCTATCTCGTTGTCGCTGTCCTTCTCGATAGAGATCGACAACTGTATTGGCAGCTAGAGCAAATTTGGCCTGTAGAGATTGTAAAGCTTCTGGCTCCTCAGAAGACCTATTAGACGTGTCCATTTCCTAGATAGTAGTGTTAGAATTTAGGAGAGAGAGCTACGTTTGGTTCTTGATTGAGAAGTGAAGGGAAGAGTGTTAGACCAGGAGGTTGTATGCGGAGTAAGCTATGTGGTCGTGTATGCGACTAAATAGTCGATATATTGTTGCTTATAAATGAGTAGCGGTTCCTGTCTATAATGAGTTTTTACTCACTGCTGACTAATACTATTGTCTTCAACCGTATTCAGACTATGGGAAAGCGTAGAGTATAGCTATCGCACAATAGAAATCAAAGTATGGGCTTCTATCAAACATTTTTGGATTTGAGAACTGTGTGTAACAGTATCGGAAACATGTGCGCCCTCATACGAGTCATAGTCATCATGTGCGAGTTACAACAATATTAGTGGATATTGGAAAAGCCAACACGTAAAAAGGTTTAGACAACGCGTAACGACACTATTTAATATTGGGCATGCTACGACAAAACCAGACAAATAAACATAAGCCACAGCATCTGTTCACCCTGCATTTTTATTTATTTGCGATTCGAAGACGCAACACATAACACAATCAAAAGAATCGGAATAAAATCAAATTTCTTATTCACTGTAAATTAAATGTACTCGGATCTAAAGCATGAGCATAGCTTATTCCCTTGGTTGCTTTAAAAGCTCTCGGTTACTCATTGAAATCAAGTTTATGAATTTTACTATCTTTATCAAACCTTCTTTCATAAGTCTCTTTCCCTATTAAGGTAACAATATTACTAGTAGGATCGGTTCAATCAAATATTACACCCCAGCGCAGAATCGCCTTTCTAATTTCTTCCGTGAGTTGGTCAGCAATCGCCTTTCTGCGTGAGTAAGTTTTTATTCGATAGTGGATTTTTTTATTGAGTGTCATTTTTCAGACTTATAGTTTGCTTGTATTGTGGAATCGTCAATAATATTAAATTTATTCTTCAGAAGAATAATAACGTTCTTTTGAAGCGTTACTGATAGAAGCTAAATTATCCCTTTTTTTTTGCCAATTTGAATCGGTGCTGTTTCTACAGTATAATGTCATTATTTATCATATGGCGCATATTTTGATTCAAGCTTCTGTATTCTGCACAGCAATTTTTCGTTGTGTCACAAATGGCAACAGTCCTCCTTCCAAGGCGTGCAATACAGTGATACGCGTGGTTAAGAGAAAGAATTTACTTGAAATGCGCGTAGTATGACTCACCTTTTCTTTGGCGCAATTTATCAACTATATCCTAGATTTGTCTGGGATAAGGAAAATATACACTCCTCCCCGCTAAACTTATATGAAATGAAAGGGTTTAAACCTTGGAGGAGCAACCCCTCTTGTGTATATTTTTATGCACAGTTTGTCTGGTTTTGTAAAAAATTTCTGATAATGCGAAACTTCTCATGACTACTATTATTTTAACAACATCCTTTCAATGGTTAACAGAAGACTGATCCTGCAAATTTCTTTGGGAGCAATAAACGTTGTGTATGGCAATAGATGCCATGACTGATGCTTAAACGGATTGATTCAAAACTATAACTTCGTTGTTTTTTGTTGGGTTTTTTTCTTTCTCTTTTTCTTTGCTCATTAACAATGTACAGATATTTTACACTTCATGCAGTGTGCAAGAGTCGTGGTACACGGTACAGCAAGTAGTTTTCAGTGGATAGATTAACAACCCTCGAGTGTATCAAAGCCTCTTACACTATAAATGTATAGCGACGAACGATTCAGTTAAATTTTCTTTGTCTACAAGATATAATCGTGTCTGGGATGAATAGATTGTCAAATCTCACTTTTCTAATGACGTTTACGTTTCCTTCGTGCATGTTCATCTTTGATCTGTTCTATCAAAGTATAGTAGTCTGGAAACGGTTTACCACATGTCGTGCAAAGAGTTTCCGTCTCGTCATCTGAAGATGCAGAAGACTCCGAAGAATCCTGTCAAAGATCCAATCGATAAATTAGAGAATATAGACTGTAGAATCAATTGCATAGATACGACATACCTGAGATACGGCCTCACAGCTTTAGCTGAAAACCTGGGAGGACATCACCGCCGTCCACAAAGATTGCATTATTGTTTTCATCGTACCAGCTCTGCTCGCGCCGGCGTACAATACATCCCGATCTTTTCTGAACTTGTAGAATCTTTTGTTCGCAGGATCGACCAGCCATCCCAATTGCACCCCCGCGAGGAAGTACACATACTTGAATTTTTCAGTAAGTTCCAATAGTTTAGAATTCTGAGACACATCTTCGACTTCGGCGACAATTGGGCTGAAAGGATCGCCTCGAAACGTATAAAGCTGTTATTTATCCAATTGCAATATGTTTCCTTGGGAGTAAAGGCGCTCTGATCGTTCTCCCGCCAGTCGTAGGAAACACCCTTGCAGATCTTGGCATCTTTAATCCGCCACTGTTGGAGTTCGGCGAGGAATGTGAAAAACAGTGGCGGTAAACTTTGACTGCGTACGATTTTTTTATTTTTTATTTTTTATTTTTATTTTTATTTTTATTTTGCACATATCTGTCACCTTACAAACTGGACATGGAGATAAAACAGCATTGCTTCAGTTGTACCAGAGAAGGTTCTCATTGACAAGCAAGTTGCAGCATTAGAGAGAAGGATGATTCAATCATAAGTTTACTAGTAGTTTTCCATCATATTTATTTGATCCTATAGATATTTTGTTCCACCATAAGAGATAATCCATCATTTCGGCTATACAGGAAAAGGTGTAGAACCTCCTCGAATATCAGTTGTTATGCAATATACAGTATCTATTTTCCTAGATGAATTTAAATCTACTGAAACATCGGCTTTTCCAGAGGCCGAGCTCTACTTTCTGAAATGTTGCCTGATATATAGATAATAATGTAACATAATATAATAACGTAGTGATATGTAATGTCGGATTTTTTTTTATGTACAACAATTTTGTCACGATAAAATAAAAAAATCAATGCAAATAGTCATTTTGACTTCAAGGCGGCCACAGTTCACTAACTGTCTAACTTAAATATAATGTCAGGATGAATGATATATTCCTCTTACTCTGTAATTAATAGGAACGAAAATTTTGCCATTAGATTATTACAGTCGCACCTCGATATAGTCACTCTCGATATAGTCACATTTGCAATATAGTCACACTTTGCAATTTACCAATTCATTTAATATGAAATTTACCTCTTAGTCCCATTTAGGTTAATAGTCACTGTCACACTATTCAATTATCATTATATCTTGAAGTAGTCACAAAATCGCATGTCAAAAATAGACCATTCCCAATTCCAGTTGCTCCACATACTTAGCTAGTGTTAATGTCGGCTTGAATACGACGGAGTTTTTTATAATAAAAATTAAACAATTATGCAGCAGTTTTTTTATAATAAATAAGAAATTATGGTACATATCTTACTGTGGGTGAATTAACAATAATACATATAATATTACCTTCGTACAGTCACATAATTTAGTAACAGGCCTATTGGGTGACTATATAAAAGGAATTCGATATAGTCATACCTTGTTATAGTCACTCAATTTTCGTATCCCGACGCCTAGATGCGACTGTAATTTATTTTCCATTCAATTAGTTTAGTAAAACAATCTAAAGATATAGCAAACGCTATATTCAGCCTTCTTACGATCAGAGCTTGGATTTCGTTCTTTAATCCGAACATTCCTTAAACGTTTGTACTATATTAGATTAATATTCATATAATAAATGATATACATATTTATCCCACTTCAGTTATTCTGCAGTCGTAAACCGCGGGCTCCGGAATCGTTGGGTAGAGTTGTTAAAAATTATTACTAAAATACGCGTATACTTTGATATAATATAAACCCCCATTGTATCCACCGATTTAAGGTAGACAGTCAGTCGATAATCCACGTTATACCAATCAGTTATTTGGAGAACTGTGAGTATAAAGCGGGAGTAGAGGTTAGCCCAGCCTCGATTGAAAGAGGGCCAATTACTGAACGCTCTCCCTCGACAATTGATATGAGGTTAGATGAATAGGAATGTAGCTTCTGTTTTATTGATTTTGATGACCCAACTCTTCTTAACTTTGAAGCAGAAGTTGCGAAGTAATCGTCTTACAAATAAACAGAATAGACAGAAATATCTTTTTTGGAAGCAGTCAATAAACGTCTTTTATTGTACACAGTGGCTCTCGATAAGATGATGTCGTCAGGCCGGATCAAAAGGATCATATTATCGAGCGTTCATTATATCGAGCGTTCTCGTTATAACGAAAGCCATTGTTATAACTGATTTGGGCCCAGGAAAAAGCATCATATTAGCGAACATCATATTATCGAGAGATCATTATATCGAGAGCCACTGTGTATTAGCCTGTGTACGAGTACAATTTACCGCAAAAGCAAGTCAGGCTTTCATAAACACGATAATTCTGACATGTCTTACTTGAAAGCTACAGATTAGCTTTTTTTTTTTTTTGTAAAAACGCAAATTGCATGTTTCCAACTGTAACAGATGGTGCATAAAACATACCTCACACTAATTATCGTTTAAGCGATCACATACCCTAGTTTCATTGGTTTTGAGTTCTCAATAATATCCTCCAAATTAAACCAAATGTGGTCAGTTAGTTTTCGTTGAACGCCTTGTGGTTTAGTGAGTTCTCGAAATTTCTCCCCTTCCTCAACCCACTGTTGGAATTTTTGATGGTTCCCAAGGACATCCATATATCGTTATGGTTATTTCAATGGGTGACATTGGCTTCGAGCATAATACACTCGGCACCATTTTGGCTAAGAAACTGACGATGTAGTGAACAAAATATAAGCTCATGATAGATAATACAAATAGACATTTCTCAGACAAATTATGCCACCTACTCCATATTTAGTATGAAATTTAGTACGAATCTTACGCGCAATCTTAAGATTTCTCGTTTGCCGAATATCTTGGCAGCGGTATAAATATTGCCCATGATAGCAATAAGGATGTTCGACATAATAATAACTAGAGGCAAGCTTGCAATAACGGTATAGATTTTAACTGGATAGTAATTCCAGTTAACATTATCCCATCTTCCATTCATCCAATTGTAAGCTGATAGCACAGAGGTCCAGAAACTTGCAAAATTATTGTCAGATACCCGTTAATATGACACCTATATATAAATCCTCTATACAGTCACGGTTGTTGTGTAACCGTAGAGGAAAATTTTTATAAACGCAGCCAGCGGTAAGCACTAAAGCCCATATTATATTATAAGCCACAAATTTACACCGCCGTAAGGTAGTAATGAATATAAATGTTATTACATCATATCTACGTAACACTTTTGAGAACACAATGTGTACATAAATGGTGAGATAATAATTAAAACACCCAATATGAATAACTACTTCGTTAATCTTTACACAATGTCAATCGGAAAAAGAACATTGATAATAAACGCGATATGCGAAACAAATCCTACTTAAGGACAACTTTTTAGTAATGTACCAAAATTTTATCCAAAAAAGAAAATTGGCTTTCGACAAAACAGAATCTCGTCAACCTCGCTGTTAATCACATGACTATCAATTAATCCCTTTATACAGTCACCCCTCCTTAGAGTCACTGACTTTGGCTGGTCCCGACCTAGGGAAAGTCGGCTGTATTCCCATTATGTCAGGGCTCGTCGGAAATGAACAGTGAGATAGCGCTATAATTAGGTTTAATAATCAACATTCTTGTTATTAAGTAACAGTTAGCAATATGAATGTTTTCGTAAATATTCTCGTGACACAACATCACATGCAAGGTTAAGATTAGATCTCAGTCCCGTGTTCCTTCTTATGGTTGTCGAGAACGTGACAAGACCGATTATAATTATGCACTATTGTTGATGTTGTGTTACTATAATGGGTACAATAATCTACAGCATAATAATAAATTTTAGTTATTATTATAATGAAAACTTATTTTCATTATAGTCAAGAAATCCCACCCACACTTTTAACGTCGTACAATATATTCCTATATATAGAATTTAACACAATGCTGACCGGAATTAATATTGGTCTTTACAATGAAGATTACTCCTTATACTGTGCGACGTTAAAAGTTTGACCATAATCTTATTTTCTACAAAAATAGTATGGAGGCTGCCTTATATTTAACTGCCTTCAATGAAATATAAACAAAATTGTCAGAAATTTTATTTTTAAAACGTTCTTCTTGGAGGATGTTAGTTCTTAAATTTAACTAAGTACATAACTTTAACCCTTCCGTCATTTAGGTCTATCTATAGATATGGCGCGGTTTCTAAGATAATGGAAAAGAGTTTACTACAAACATTTATACAAAAATCAACAGCAACGCGTGAAGCTATAATAATCATTGCTATCATTAATCTTAACGATTAATAGTATAGTACCCTCCTTTTTCCACCGTATGTCCTTTCAAATTCACAGTTTAGATTATTATAATACAAGAGATTTAGTTTTTAATCGTACTCCATGTCTATTTGATAATTCCATACTAATTTTCTTAAATTCTGACCGATAATAGCACTCTCATACCCGGGTGGTGCAGCAAGTTCTCTTTTCCCCTTCTCTTTCTCCAACTTCCTTGCAAGTTTCTCTTTTGCCTTGACAAAAACACCAAACGCTTCCACATATTCCAAAATCCAACTCTTAAATTCTTTATACGCTGCTTTCTCTCTCTTCTCATTCCTTGCCTTTACTCGGTGTATCACATTGTGAAAGAACCATATGAGATCATCATGCCGCTTGTCCTGCCATGCAAAATAAGCGAATTCTTTAAGGATATCAAGATCGAAACGGTCAATCGCCAGCCCCCGTGGAAAACAATTGAGCACTGATAAGAAAAGATCCTTTGCTAAATCGTCTGCGCCTGATTGAACAGAGTATTTGAGATAGAGATTAATCATTATCGTGTCTTTGATTCCAAGTGGAGGTGTTGGAAACGGTTGTATGATTTGTGGGAATTTCGACGCATCTTCGTCGGTCTCTTCCTTTCCCTTCACATCATGACTGGACGTTTTCGCCAACCCATCTTTTTCATTATTATTTTGACCTGTATCCTCTTTCTTAACGGTCTTCCGTTCTGACGGGTATTTATAGACCGCATATTTATTTCTCCATTTGCAGAATGCTCCAAAAACCTTTTTTATCATGGCCATATTATGCTCTACTTCACCATAGTACTCCATTAATATCTGCCAATATTCAAGATTAACCCGCCCTTCAAGTCTCAATCTTGCTGCAAGTGTCTTTCCATCGCCAATTAGTCCCGGCGTATGTAAGTAAGTATCAATAATCGCCAAATTCCATTTAATGTTTTCATCATCATTTACCGAGTTTGCAATATTACTCTCAATTTCTGTTACTATATCCTGAATAAACCCCAGATCTTTGCATACGGACGCACATTTGAGCATTGCTCTGTACGTACGAAAGGTTGGTTTCACTGGTGGAAATTCTCTCAACATTTGGTATCGAACAACATTCAACGCGTATAACGCTTCACTTTCCTTTTGTGCAGCTGCTTCAAACACCACTTCATATAAACTCGAATTTCTGTTCAAACCCACTAAAGGCATTTCATTCCATCTCCTCCACATCGCGCGGTAAAATCCGGCTGATCCTAACTGTTTTAAAAGTGTCCTCATCGTATCTATGCTATGAGGCACATCATTCAAACCCATCATCCGCTCAACGTCGAATATGCTATGTAGTATTTTCGAGCGCTCCTCAGGCGCCTTAGATTTATGTTCAGACGAAGAAAAGGATGCTTCTAGCATCGAGTTGAATGCTTTCGATTTATCGGTATTATATCCGTACATTTCCATCAAATAGTAAATCTCAGCTGCCTTGGAAAGATCAGGCTTCTTGGTTGTACTACTAGTCGTTGTACGCGCCTGGGCTTCAAGAAGATAGAGGAATGTCCTCTGAGTAACTCGTATGCCTTCCGCCCTCATGTTCATTATGTTGTCGTACGCTTTTGACAAGGGAAATTCACCCTCTGATAATCTATTCGCAAATATTTGGAATTGAACTACCATGTTATGATATTGTCTACTCGCCCATGGTAATTGCAAGTCATTTACGGAAAAGCTTTCCACTAGCCGAGTCCATGATTCAAAAAAATCGCTCTTGTCAATATCCCCTGAGATTCGTGACCTGTGATACGGTACGTCTACCTTCTCATTCACGCCTTCGATATTTGTAACCTCGGCCTTGAGCGCACCGAGATGTGCTTTCATCAGGATCAGCGCGAAGACAAGTTTCGTCCTCAGAGGTTCATCTGATTCCCTGCTATCTCGCATTTGATTGACTAATGGTAACCACTCACTTACAAGCTTCTGTGTTTCTATGATATTCCCTTGCTCAGCCCAATAGGCGGCCATCGTAACAAGTGGATTGGTCGATGGTAAATATTTGTGGTTTTCCTTAATTTTCTCGAGTTGTTCCATTGCTCGCGAAATTTTTTGTTTTCGTGCAAGCGCCCAAGCAATCTCGGATTTTATGTCTATTGTAGATTGTCCAGACTGCTCAATCTGTTCGATTACTGAATTAAGAACATTGATGTCTTTGCTAGTGCCGCCACCCAATGCCTTTTGGAGTGAAGAAACCGTGATCAGTAATTCAGCGTCAGCAAATCATATCATGCAATTGCATTATCAACTTACACGTAATACGACTTTCCAAGTATCTTTGCCATATGGCTTGGGCACCGTCTGCAAAAACTTTTCGGCCAAATTGAATGTAGCCTCAGTTAGTTCTGTATTCTCTAAATTCGGTTGGTCCAAGTACGCAGATTTCCTTGATTTCACGACAAGTGGCTTAGTCAAAGAATGAAGTAAAGCACTCCATAAATCTTCATCCATTTTAACTTTTGACGCCACATTTGCACTGGCGTCCTCAAGTGGTAGGATATCTTTGGCTAGTTTTTCGACTGTCTGCTTAATAAGTTTTTTATTTTTTGAAAGTGAGAGAACTTTGAACAAATAAGAATAGGTTTTTTTTGTTGGGTAGACATCAAGCGAGAGATCTGTAGCTTCCTTGTACATCTGCGATATGACATTGAGTGCACTCTGAAGGTCTCCTGCCTCTGCACAAGCCTGCAGGACAACATGATATACTTTTCTTGTCGGTTGAATATTTTGTTGCTTCGCTTGAATGAAGGTTGAAGCCACTGACCCTAGATCGGATTTCGAGATATGATCCAACAACTTCTGGAGAAACTCTTCCTGTTTTGCACTCTGAATATCAGATGGATCAGACGCATTGGGAGTGGTTGCAATTGCAGAAGCTAATCTCCTTGATTGCGATAATCCGCTGTAGTAATAATCTGTTCTGAAACGTTTAGAGGGTTTTACAAGCCATGAACATGCATTTAAATTTATTCGACATTTTGAATGAAGGATTCTGTGACGAATCATTTGCTGCTCGAGTAGTCAAATTTTTACTTCTAGTCCTTATAGTAATAGTAATAGGCACGATTCAATCCGTTGTGTAACATCTAGCTGTCACTCTATGCTGAATATGGGATTAATTATGAATGTTACGCAGATACCAGGAATTTTTCGTAGTACGACTTTGCCCAATACAGAGAATGCGAATTATCATCACAATTGTTACAACGCCCTGCTTTAAAAATCTCCTCGTTTATTTAAACAAGACCTCAACTGAGCCTCGATAATAAACGTGAGATTTGTGAATATGTTAAACAACATCCAAAAGCAAAGCATAGCGAACTAGCAAACCGTCTAATAAGAAATTCTGTTAACAATCAAAACATCAATAAAAATTTTCATTGTTATGACATCAATGGTGTTTCAAAAGCGAAAATTGATTTTCTTTAGTATAATAAAATCTGGCATATTCTAATAATACAGTCAGCCAAAAAAATTTTTAAAAATTCACATGATTCAATTTGTGACAACATCGAATGTCAGTAGAATGTGTTAGTTTGAGATAGTTTATTATGATAAATGTATTGTTTGTAACTGTCATATATTATTAACTATTGCGAATGGATACTCGTTAGCCGCTATTTAACGACTTGGTCGTTCTTAACGTTGCCCGAATCACGCCAAGTATTGTGTGATTCACGACTCTATACCATTCCACCCACCCTATTAGGCCTCAAGGCCGTTAACTCGAACTCGTGACCTACGGAACTTAATCCCTTGGGTGGAACTTTAATCCACGGAATACAGCCAAGCAACGACGACAGGGGGTTAGTCTCAATGCGCCATACATAGAGCTCATTCCTTCGGAACTTGATCCCTTGGGTGGCTCGGAACCCTTCACCACGGAATACAGTTGTCATCACAAACTTGAGACCATATCGAGGTATGCCTCAGTATGTGTATGTGAATGCGCGAACAGGTGTGAGATGACCACGTCGTACAGGACGCGTGATGGGTGGCCGAACCCCTCGAGTTCAATTTGTTAGAAGTAGAAAAAAATAATTAGACAACTGGCTGTAACAAAGTTTGGCTAGAGTAAATTTTGTTTTATAGTAAACACAATTATCTAAAAGGTGCGCATTTTGGTAAACATCTTCGATATACTCAACTAGAGTAAGATTTGTCAACAAAACTATCCCCCAACACATTGGTCTAATCTGATACTGATTGATTTGTTCGATAATCACAATAGCGGTCAGTTGAAGCAACTCAAGAAAAAAAAAGATACATGCTTTCAACTCCAGAATGACACGTGCATATCTCCTCCAATTTTAGGTCGATTTAAACAATGTAAATTGTAAAATGATTGTCAGATAAAGGATTTTATATTTATTCATTTTGAATTCATCAATTAGAACGATGACTTCCAGACAAGAGACAAATCGCCAAGCTATACAACTATTGTGGGATCAAGGTATTCGGAATGCTGCAGAGATTCATAAATGCAAGGTTATCCCACAGTGTAGTTTATGAAAACATTAACAACCTGGAACCGTTAACCTCGCATAAAACTTTCTTCGGGATAACATGCCTGAGGCAATAGACTGGCCTTCTAACAGTCCTAACCTAAATCCAATAGAGAATCTCTTGAGTATTGTTAAAAAAGAAATGCAGCGATTTGCGGCGTTTTATGGTCATGATATTCCACAATCAACCCTAATTGGGTTAGTACATCAATGAAGCTTGTAACGGTGAACGCCATACTAATTTTTTTTTTTTAATAAAATCTGGCATAAAATTCTTGCGTAATGTGTAATTTTGTAATTCCGGGATTTTTTGTCCCACACTGTATGCAGTGACAGGAATAATAACTGCTATGGACGGATCTGTGACAATGTGCGGATTACTTTTTCAACTTTTCCGTTAGTTCTGGAACAGCACTAAACAGATCAGCAATAAGGCCAAAATCAGCAATCTGTTGGAAGAAAAAAGTTTTTAGTATTAAGTAAAAATGATAAGAGAATGTCTATTAAATAGATATTAACCTGTAATATTGGAGCCTCAGCATCGTTATTAATTGCTGCTATTACTTTGCTGTCCTTCATACCAGCAATGTGTTGTATTGCACCACTAATGCCCACTGCTAGATAAAGATCTATTAGACAATAATAAGTTAGCAACTAATTGTAAATGTGATGCAAGAACGAAGAATAAAAATCCTTCATCACCTGGAGCAACGACTTTGCCTGTTTGTCCAACCTACAAAAGAAGACATGTATAGTATTACAATTACAATGGTAATAATTTGACGTCAACCAACAACAAAATCATCATTTCATTACCTGTAAAGCATTATCACAGTATCCTGAATCTACAGCAGCTCTTGATGCGCCAACTAAGCATAAAAGTTTTGTCTTAATATTTCACTCTTTTCGGTTACAATATTTTGTCCTTCTCAACGTTGGCAAAAGTTAAATGTACTTGGAATCTTAACTCCCAACATGTATTCTATAGATTGTACACTGCTTCTATCTTACCGGCTGCTCCGAGGGCATCGGCCAGGCTAAACATAAGTTTATCAAAATTCTCTCGGCTCTTTAGCGCTCTCCCACCAGACACGACTCTCGGTGCTGATCCCAATTCTGGTCTATCACTCTTTTGCAATTCCTCCCCGACCCATTCAGTTAAAGATGGTTTCTCAGACTCTGAAGCGGGTTCGGTGGGTGCATTATTGTCGCCTTGTTTTGCGGCAGGAAAAGCGGTGCTACGAACAGTGACCACTTTTACAGGATCATTAGACTTTACTTTTGCAATTGCATTGCCTATATATAATCAAGTCGATAGGATCAGCAATGACTCGAAGAAGATCGAAGTTGGTGCGCAATTAACATTACCTGCATATATTGGCCTAATAAATATATCGGTTCCTTCGATGCCAATAATGTCTGATATTTGCGCAACATCCAGTAATGCCGCGACTCTGGGTAAAATATTCTTTCCAAATGCACTATTTGAGGCCAACAAGTGTGTAAAGCTGTGCGTTTTCTGAGCCGCAATTACAAGTGGAGCATACACTTCCGATATACCATGCTCATATGCCTTATCCTTGGCAGTCAGAACTTTAGAGACACCAGGAAACTTTGCAATTGTTGTGGCTACCTGTTCAGGATTTTCGCCTGCCACTAGTGCAGTAATACTGCCGCCAAGCTTACTTGCTGCTGTAAGGGTGTTGAATGTAGAAGAAGCTATGTTATTATCCTTGTGCTCAACAAGAAGAAGGCTAGAAACGCTTTGTGCAGTCGCATATTGACGATGGAAGAGGGGGAGAGTCTAAAGGAGAAAGGGTTAGTATGTATAGAGCCTCTACTTGAGCGAGTTGAAAATGCTATGATGCTTACCGCATGGACTCTAGATCTGCTTGCAATGGCTTGGCGCAAGGCAAACATTGTCGCTATCAGATCAGCGAAAAATGAAATATATTTTTTTACTTACCATATTAGACAAGTTTTGTGATATGCGGGATCGACCTAATGCAATCGGAATTACGACATATATAGTACCAACAACGAGATGTTGCTTCTTGGAGATCCCAGTCATTACACAGTCAAGTAAAGGCTTGATAAAATAGCGATCGCACTATAATTTCTCGATATTTAATATTGTGGGAAACTCCCTGTTCCACTTACATGTAAATTTGACTATTACTATACTACATTCCTGATCTTAATACAATAGAAAATGTCTGGTCCGCTCTTAACGTAAATATAAACAAAAAAAGCATCCAAAGAAGTTTTAGATAGAAAATGGCAAGGTATTCCATTAGAGGCTATCACTAATGATATTCGTAACATTTTAAAAATCTTACTAAATTCAGTATTGAGTTAATTACAAGGAATTAGCAAATATGTTAGTATGTTGTAACAAGAAAATATTTTGTTGAAAAAATGTCCAATCGCGATTATGGTTTTCCAGGACTGTAATCGTGTCTTCCCAGTCTAATCCTGGATATTCTACCAAACGAACACGCTTTTTGCTGGGGGTTATGTTATCCTTGCTGTCCATCGTATTACAATTACTCTTTTGTTCGAGTGGGTTGACATCAAAATCGCCCTCTAATATTTCACCTTCCTCTAGAATTTGTTCTTCCTCATGTTTCTCATGCGTTTCACCTACATTACCTTCGTTAGCGTCTTCTATGTTCAATAAATTATGTACATTTTTATTTCTTATATTATCGCCTTTTTCCTCTTGACTCGTTCCATCATGTTCGTTTACCCCGTACACTTGTAGTTTAACATTCTCTCCATCTTCATAGTATAGTCTGCGTCTTCTAACTTTCGCTTCCTTCAATGGATCTAAATAGGTAAACAAGTAGTAGAATATTGCGTACACGTCCATTACTATCCAGCCTCTATCTCCTTCGTTCATTCATACCTTCACCCTCATAACGCCAATATCCGGGCGGATACCCAAATATTCGCATCAAGGGATACCATGGTGGTATATCTTCATTCCCAGAACCCTTCATTCCCAACGCCTCCTTTAAGTCATCCGATAGTTTTCCCGGGACTAGCTGATCTATCATATTCTCCCGTTCTATTTCTATATGAAATCGGCTATGAAAAGGTTGAGGCATAGGATTCTTTAAATCAAACTCTGTTCGATTCTGATTGATACGCGTTGGAGAATGAGGTTCGGGGCATGATTTAAAACTGTGTGATTTTGACTTGCAGTTGAAGCAGTACCGTGTCAGAATTATTATCTCGGATGAGCTGGCAAATGGGTAAGACAGTTGAAGCACATGCAGTGTTAGACAGACTCGAATGAATAGCATTCTATAATTATATATACTCACTCGGCTTGCTTTAACTGATTCGTTTCGTCTGGGTCAGTTTCGGTATCCGTGTGATGCTCTTGAGGACCAAGTATGTCTTTTATTTGTCGTTGGTAACGAGGTACGTTCGCCAAGTTTTCGCCATTACGTTTCTTACGATCTACAGTAAAGCCGAGGCCTATCTTATTTTCACACTGATCAGCATTCGAATGGGGACGCTTGGGTAGCAGGGATTTATAAGGGGAGAAACGTCGAAGTGGGGACGCTTTGTGACGTATGACATGTTCTGAAGACTTCAATTGGGAAACAGGCGATACTTCCAACTTTCCCGACATTCGTAAGAATTTCTGAGCGAAGGCACGTATATATGTACAGTATGTGTATGTGGTATATGTGTATGTGTGCGTGTGTGTGAACAAAAGCAGTGCAAATCTTTCTGTGAGGTTATCAAGGTTATTTTACTATTTTCGTTCCACACAAAATCAAACTAGGCAACCATAGTGTTTGCACTTCGCTTTAAATCATAGCTTCCAAGAAGCAGCAGTGGAAATTGATGCCGAAATAAGCTCAGCAAATGTACAACCAGACAAGCTTATCTATTGCACGTAACTGATGCTAACATGGGATTGCTCTTATGCATTCAATAGTTTCAACTTGTATAAATGCGAGTATATTTTGTTTTTTATTAGGAATATCAGATATTAGCCTGCCATTTCTGAGAGTCATTAGTTATTCGTAATCTGCTTAATGTATTATATTGTCTTGTTCACAAGACTCGCTCTGTAAAAGACATTGATGGCCCTTTGCATAAAGTTCAAGACGCATAAACAAAAGACAATCCCTGCTAGCACTAAATATATCGCTGCACGACAACAGAGTTAAGAAGCGATGCATCAGTCAAAGTCTGTGATTCATCTGTAAGCTCTTTTGTGGGGAATGTTGTTTGAAGAATATAACCACGGCTTGCTTCACCCGCTCGAGACCTGTTGATTAACGAGAAATATGTTTGTAATGACGCAAAAACCTGAAGTTTGTTAATCAAAATATAATAAAATAAAATGTGCAAGGCACAATCATACGCATTAATAAAATTTCGAATATCGCCAATAGTATGCGTATGATTAAATCTGGCGACCATCCTACGATATTAAATCAAGAGTTAAATACATTTCGAAATGCGTCAAGGAAAACATTCTTTCAATTTTCTTACCTGGTTCCGTCTCCAAGCCTAACCTGAATAGATGTTGTCGGTAACGATTCATCGAGCTGAAATTCGGTTTGTCGCTGTGTCGGAGTCGCGGATGAAGCAGGTGATGAGACAGAGCTACTAGTAGCCACTGCGCCCACAATACTATAAATAATGAGATGAGTGAGCTGTGCAACACTAGTAATAAAAGGCTTTAGATGCAAATATTGACCTTCCTAACCGTTGACCACTTCCTGAAAAAGGCAAGGATGGTTTCTTGGGTGGAGGCTTATAGTCCTCATCTAGTCGTCGCGCCACTCGCATGTCTACCGGTTGCCCTGTTTTGACATTAAGAAGTTGTAAAGGAGCGCGACTGTAGTGTTGAACAAGACACGCAGTATTAATAGTCAGGTAATTGATAAATACATACTATGATAGGAACAGACACGAATGTCTTACCCGCTATTAATTGCTTGTAAAAACTCTTTATTTGCTGGATCATCGTAAGCCATTAGCGGTCCGTCTTCAATACTGAATCCGTTCCTCCAGAAAGTCAGATGCCGCACAACCTATTATTCACGCTAACTGAGCTCTTGTCTAGATATCTGTAATCAGACAGTCAATGAACCTACAGGTTGAAGTTCTTCGGGTTCATGTGAACCCGAGTCTGCGCTACTCGGAATTACAACGGATGGTTCATCTTCGCTTCCAAGTCTGTATCCTGTTTGTGGATTATGGAAGACATATAAATGAGCAGTACATGCTAACATGAATACAGTAATAATACTAATCCATACTTACCGGTTCCACCAAAATGACTTGGCTTGGTTGGTTTAGCAACATCATCTTCAACGGCGGCGCGCCCACCTCTTGAACACGTTGCATATGCGCAAGGATATAACGGGAGCACAATAGTGTAAGTGACATAATTATTAACGTATACAAAAACAAACTAGCATATATCTATATCTAATTGCATCAATGGATTGGGAGTGTTTACTTACTCCGCAGCCTTCCGGAGAATGTCTCCGACCAATGAACCTGTTGCCTTTACACTTGGATTTTGCGTGAATATACCACTGATCGATGAATAGAAACACAAGTTAGATAAACGGTAATCAATTATATCGCAGTAGTCAACAACGATTCAACATACGACTTCTCGCCGCCAGCAAACAAGTTCTCGTGCTCCTCGTCGTCTTCAGCTTCTTCCTCAGCTGAATGGCCAGTAAAGTCACGCAATGTAGCTACACGCCGTTCTGTGCTTGTGCTATTAACACGACCTAAAGCACTTAGCATCTCAATTTATTCCATCCGACCAATATTTGAGACTTATAATCATTTTGAAACTTTACCTTTTTCCGGTCTTCTGTCCCGAGGAAGAAGTAGAAGAAGAAGCCTCAACTGCAGAGGAGGAAGATGCAGCTGCAGAAGAAGACGGGAAATTCCCCGGCATAATTGACGGTTCACTTTCAAACATTTCGTCTTCCAAGTCCTGCTCTGTCCCGTCTTCATAAAAGTTACTCAGCGCAGTCTAAGTATATGAAGAGACGCGAGCTTTAGAATGCCATTGGCTTCGCATTAAGACGTGTATATACATTAGTGTAGAAAGGTACTTGGAGATCCCAATTATTGGCTTCGAGGTAGAAAAGAGCTTTGCTCTCATTTATGGGAACAATACCCCGAAATTTCTCAAGTAATTCGTCGTGATCGTCCATAGTTCTAAGAGAAATGAAATAAGATGGTGTGTCTACTGATTACGTTTCCTGTCCTATCTGCAATTGTTCTTTTAAAATTGGTTGTTATACAAATCATGCATTTTCACGTGATTTAATAATAATTACATCATACTCGGAGCATGCAAAGACCAAACCAGCAATCTTGGTTATATGGCTGCTTATCCTTCTACGCGAAATGATTCGCCCGGTAATAGTTCTAAACACTGTAAGTTTTGCAAGTTGTGGTTTCCGCGAGTTCCTTAGTGTTTTGTTTCAAGAATTCCGCTTATACGATTTCTCCCCTCGGGATAATTGCTCAACAGTCCCCGCATTAGACGAGGTATCAAATAACTGTTTACCATCGCTTGCATTTTTTCGGCGTATGGAGAGTTTCCGATTAACAATGGAACCGACATTTTGTGTAGGAAGTCAGATTATATACTAATACTATAGATCGGGAGAAATACGAGAACCTCGCTGACTTGTATGCAATCATTGTCACAATGGAACACCTCGAAAAAGCCTACATCAAGGACTCGATTAAACATACAGAGTAAGAGGACTAATAAACGTTCGAATTATTTATTATTGGTTTCCGTTAATTTTCATGATCCTAATGATAAGGAATGACTAGTTATACTCCTGCTTGTTCGAAATTGATCGCACAGTACAAAACAGCTTTGAATTTGGTAAGCGATCATGTGCCTGATATTGAGAAATTTATGAAAGAGTACAAGGTAAGAGCAAAGGCCTGGTATTGTAATTGGAGGGCTTTCTTTTCTTGACAACGCGATATTGATATGTTTCGTTCTTTCGTAATAGCTCGGATGTCCCGCAGCAGCCAATAGGTTTAAGATAGGGGTTCCGGCTACTATAGAACATTCGACTGGCGCTGGACATGGATCTGGAGCCTCAGCAAAATATGTGGCTGAAACTGTGACGGTGAGATATGCAGTCGTAAAATTAGCTGTCGCCTGTCATTGGATATCTTGACCTTATTCTCTCAAACTATATGTATCTCCTCAACCATGCATTTCTTCTATTTTTAGCATTTTATTACGCTAATGGATACTCTCAAACTGAACATGAAGGCAGTGGACGAGTTACATCCGATCCTAAGTGATCTAATGCAAAGTCTCAACAATGTAAGCTCTCTCCCTGCCGATTTCGAAGGAAAGGCAAAGGTAAGAAAGTGGCTGATAACTTTAAATTCAATGAAAGCGAGTGATGAGATCAACGCGGAGCAAGTACGGCAATTGTCCTTTGACATGGAAAACTCGTATAATGCCTTCTATCGTTCATTATCGAAAAGTTGAAGTTCGATAGTTACAAGTACTTTTTGTGCGAATAATGAGGACTACGCACACTATTTTATGTGCATAGTCTCTAATCAAAATAAGTCTATTTAATACACATAAAAAACCCCTCTTTACTGTTAATAGTAGCGAACAATTTTATGGTTGAGAGAAGATGATCGTCGTATTTATCTTATTATTTGTCTATGGGATAGTGACTCTCTACCGAACATGATCTCGTTCCTTTCAAAGAGAAGCAGATACTATTCTGCAAATATATACATAATAATTTTGTAAACAGCATCTATAACTTGGTAATAAATAATCAAAGGCCAAAATGCTTTGAATAGACAAAATCTAATGTCACGGATTTCCGAATAAGTTTCAAATGTTCAATAGAAAATCGATTAGAATTTTCAAAAGAAAAGAAAGAAATAATGTTTGTAATTTATTCTGTTATATCCTCATCTCCACTTGTATTCGACTCTAAGCCTGTGCAACAACTTTTTCAACTGTCATTCCATTAGAAATCATCTCAATTTCCTTTCCTATTCCTACTACGACATTTTCCTCGTTCTCGTTCCATGGTCCGGCATCGCTCATGTGGCATCCATTCACACAATTGCAACGTCCACCAAATTTAGTGGGTAAACTATCCGCATCAATGTATTCAAGCAAAACCTTCTCATACTTCGAGCCCAATATTACAATCTTGGCAGCGGTGACCTCGTCCAGCATAGGTTTCACCAACGACCAGACTGAAGAAAAGAGCATCGGTGCATTGATGATAAAGAATTTACCCATACGTTCCGGATAGTAGTTCTGCCCAATCGCAGAGGCTTGCTTCACATAGCCGAAGACACTGGAAAACGAGCGAAGGGAAACACCCTTGAGATCAAGTATGGTGCAAGATGTTTCGATCATTTTGCCGTGTCTGGCAGAACAAGCAGGAAGACGATAAGCAGCTAGTTTTTCGTATTCAACGACAAGGTTCTGGATCTGACGCTCTGGAGTAGTGATCTTGTAAAGGGCTTTAATGTCGATATTTCCAATTTCTTCAACGTATATCGGTCGTCCTTCTTTGTCTGTTTTATGATAATAGCGGGGATAATATTTCATCACTTCGTTATGTTCGGTATAGTCGAAAGTTTTGACGAGATTCTCGACTCCAAACTCTTTCCGCCACTTTTCGCAATCAATAAACATCTTTTTTGCTTTTGCCAAGTCAAATCTACGAGCGCGAAGGAAACGAAGAAGATAAGCATCGTCGTGGCGTTCTTTGTCGTAAAAACCTTCGTCTGAGAGCTCCCGACGAAACTTTTCAAGGGTTTCAGCCTGCTGTGGACTGAGTGAACCGATATGTCCTGAATATTTTTGTCCAGTTGTTGCAGGCGGCATATTATTTACGAGTATTTCTTGGGTATTCAGTAAAGTATTCGAACGTGATTAGTGAAAGTGCTGAAATAAGGAGAAGTTTAGTGTAAGCGGAGATGAGGAAGGCGGAAGATTTGTTTGGTCAATCCTAACAAAAGGAAGGTTATTTTATCAGAGGTTGGTGATTGAGACAAAGATCATACCGTTTTGCCCCCCTCATTATATGATTAATTGTGGCTGTGTTACCATATTTGATATGCTATTAAAGGAAAATCATTATTAATTATTGGAACTAGATGCTTGACTCACGTGATTATCACAGTACAGCGAACTATTGTTTATTATTATAGTCACACCATAGCTATAGACTGAGTAAATCTATTATGAAACTGGCACTAGAGAGAATGTAGGAGAGTGTGACTGCAGACAGAGTTTTCATATGGTGACTATAAACGAAGGGACTATAGACATATTCTTTATGGTTATTGGTTGCTCAGCAGCTAATTTTTGTATAGTTACTACCGAATATTCGAGACTTTGAAGTCGGACTGTGCGTAGATATTGCAAACATACTCATTAGCCATAACACACTTGCCATCATTCTTTCTTTTCTGACACAAAAGTTAAATTAAATGATGAGGGTAAATGACAGTAGGCTATAGTTGGACTTGCTTACGAGATTATTTTTATTAGTAGATGTTGGATCATGAAAAAAAGTGAATGACGTCGACGTTCAACACGCTCTATATACGTGGGAGGGCTAACAAAGTTCTGCGCGTGGACCTTTATTTCCAGAAATTCCAATACAACTATTTTTATTCCTTCGAAATACTTTCCATTAAACTCTATACAACGCTCTAGCCGATTTCGCCAACTTTAAGAATTCTCATAGTTCTTTTTCGGGCCTTCAACAACTGCTTGCCAAATTTTTGATCTTATCAAATATTTTTCCCTTCAGTTCTTTTTTGATGAAAAAATCAACATTGCCCTTTACTGTCCAAAAACCAAAGACCTGCTCTCTAGAGAACTTTCCCTATACCATAATTGTTATTTGCAAATTTTTAGTAATAATAAGGAATGCATCAATAATTACATTGTGAAAAGGTCTAGAAAGTTCCCAATATTAATATTAATATATTAAACCACTATACAGTATATAGATCAACGTCTTTTTATTGTGGCGCAAAAAAATTTGCTTCCCCACAATGAAGGATTGTGACGGCAACTTTCGTCGCGAATGCACCATTGACGCATGTGGCTGCCGTGAATACGATCCTGATGAATGTGGACGAGCTTGCCTGGAGTGCAAGCACCGGGCCGCCAAACACGTAATCCCAGACACTGTACCAGGTACGACTCTTTGTGACTCGGGCGTTGGGGACATAGAGTAGTGTGTATATTGGGTGATTTTCTTGAGTTTTTGGGATATCACTTTATGACTCGGGAGGAAACGACTTCGTGACTCAAAGTGTACTCGTAAATTGTGCGCCTTGATGTTATGAATTATTGAGAGAATGCTATAATGACTTTGTGACTCAGGCGTTGGGGACATAGAGTAGTGTTTACATAAAGGTTGATGATTTGCAGGCTCTCTTGCCACAAACTTCGTGACTCGGCGTTGGGATGTAGAGTAGAGCATTGCAAATATGCAATCTTTTTCGATATTCCTTTTCACTTCGTGACTCGGTGGGTAGAGGCTGTCAGCGGTTTTCTTCGCGAGGCGGCTGCGCTCCCTCACCGTGACAATAGAGCTCTGTAGTGTCGATGCTTAGT